CAGGCTACCACTTCTGCGATACTACGTCGTTCCAAGGCGTATCACATAGGGAACGCCCAAGCTCAACTCGATCACCTGCGATTTTCGATTTCAGTCTGGTACTCGAGTTTAGCTCGTCCTTTTCGGTAGATCCCCTTAAATGGGACACTCCAATTGGTGTCAACGGGCTTGGGCGAGCTTGTTGGAACTCAGCTTGGCATATAGAGGTTTGTCCCAACCCAAACCTGAGGGCAAACCTGAAGAGGCTTCCTTTACGCATCTTGTTCGGGGTCCCAAAACTGACACCTAGCCAGCCTCAGAGGCTCTGACACCTGCCCAGCCTCAGCAAGTTCAGGATGTTTGCACTTTACTTCGGTAGAATTGGCTCCCCATTTTCCATGTTTTGCTTTTTTGGGCCCCCTTTGTTTTCCACTAGCCAGGCAAAAAATAAAAACAAAATTGGGGGTCCTAATTCCAGCCAAGATCAGGGGTCTTCTCTCACGTTTTGTCGTCTCTTTTTCGGGGCCTCCAAGAAAAACCGGGGGGCATTTGACATGGTGAGTCTGGTCTGGAAGAGTGGCCTGCTTTCTACCAAGCGGCCAAGCCGTGGGAACTTTTCATGAAACAACTTCTGAAGGGGCATTGTGAGTACTGTACCTTACACGCAGCTCTTGCAAGGCTCAGCTTGGTGAGTGCTTTTCCTCGCATGTTATCGCTTGTTTTTTTGGTTTTCTTCAGCTTAGCGGTTTACTCCTTGAAAACCACACTTGGTCTTGAAACCCACAAGCCCCTCCTGCCGGACTCTGTATGCCTGTGCAGACATGCGTTTCGGCCTTCAGAGCGGCGGGCTTTATAGCCTTTTGCCTTCGGCTAGAAAGTGGCAGGCGTCGAAGGACGCTTGAACACATCGTCCCAAGGCTTGCGGTACGAATGGCGAGTGGTCGTTTCTACAAAAAGCTGGCCGGTTTACGGAGCCGTCCGGTTCCGTGAGGTGTTTTCTGTGTATTTGAGTTGTCTTTTTTCCGTTCAACCCGCAAGTTGAAACCTTTGGGCAGCTCAGGTTGGACTGGCCAGTATGCAGTTCCACCGCCACCTTTCTAACTCCAGGAGTTGATGCTTGACTGGCTCTCTGAACTCACTTCCCGGGTTCCTGGGCTTTAGTTGTTCACTTTTTGGGTTACCATTTTAGTGGTAAGCAACAAGTTTGGTTGATTTTTTCTGGCCACTCCGCAAGTGACTTGAGGAAACCATTGGTTAGAGCTACGGAATGAGTTTGATCGAATGTGAACCACCCAATCTGTTACCACAAGCCTCAAGCCTGTGCTTTGCGAAGAGCTCAGCCAGGGCAAGCTGACGACTTGGCCATGTGCGAATTCAGCATCACGAATGTGTTTCTCCTGTTGTGAGTAGGTCCCCCAGCTAGGTGCCTGTCTTTACTGTAGGCAATGTTAAACATCGACCCGGGTGGTTCCTTCTTTTCGCTTCAGCGTGGAGACCCCCACACCGATGGGTGTAAAATCCACACAAACCAACTCCAGGCTGTTCCCCAACAAAAAGCATACCCGCCTACTCATTCCGGTGAGTCAAGTTGTTGGCTGGGATTAGTGTTTGGATTGATTCAGCTTCTCGAACTCTATATTTCACATCAAGGGGCATGGGGCCTCTACATCGCAGTCAGCGGTTTCTTGCTGAAAACTCAGGGCCAAACGTGTTGCCCACTGCCGACCTTTGACCCTGAGTCAGATGGCCAAGTTGCGATTGATTTTTCTTCCCGCCGGGTGAACAGGCTCGGACTGCACTCGATGCTTTTACTAGACCCACACCTTTTGGCAGGAAAAATCTGCGCCGGCTTCTTGCGTGTGTCCAGAACTCGGACGGGGGCGGAAGAGAAACTTGAGCGGCTTCAACTAGGGCAACTTGGAAAATCGGTGACGTCCTTTTGTTTCCTCGCGAACAGCCGTACCTTCAAAAGGAGGTCGTTTTCTCATGTTTACGCGGAGTTGCTTTTTTCAGTCGTCGCACCGCAGAGGTGCGAACGGCTCTGGCAATGTGTATCCAGTGACAGTCTGCCTGTACCGTCCATTTCCTTTTTCTTCAGCGTGGTAAAGGGTCATACCAATACGAGGGAGCGACCACTTCGTTGGCAATTGAATATGTATTGATACGATCACAATATCCTAAACAGTCGCTGTGGAACGAGATGCTCCCCCAAATTAACGAGATCAGAGCAAAATAGTGTTGTAGACTGTCTACAAGATTATTTCGTTCCGATCTCGTTAATTAGGAACCCTAAACCCTAAACCCTAAACCCTAAGCCCTAAACCCAACAAACAAGCCACACAAAACAATATTCAGACATAGTGGCCGTTGTGAGTGGAGCCGGCTTCGGCGCGCGAAAGGCAATTAAATCATCGAGCTCATGGAGCATTCTGAGTGCTCCGCGTGCCCATGCGTTCAATTCGAGCCACGCCCTCAACACTTGGGAAGGTGAAGGCTAAGGGATAGTCCCAACGAATTTTCTGGCTGCCTTCGGTGCCCCAACGATTTTGTACACTCTGGGTGGTTTCAACTTGGAGGGCGCCAGATGCGTCTGCGTGCTCAAGGATGCGCAAGGCAAAGCCGATCTTGCGCATCATCGATTGGTCGATGTGATGAGACATAGGGATCCCACAGCGGACTGAAAGCGCTTGGCAAACAATGCTGGGGCTGTGGGCATTCTATGTTGAGACAACCCCATATGGGTGTGGTGCTGAGTTGGTACCCTCCGGGAAAAGAAAGTCGACACCTCGTGGGTCCCTTGGATCCCGGGACAAAGGGCTGGACATTGCAACATCCCGCAGGGTTCCCAAGGCCCCCATCAAAAGAAGGGCCTTGGAACGAAAAACTTGGATGACAAACCTTAGGTAAACAATGGTGACTGAACCCCAGGGTGTAAAAAACATTTGGGACCTCACTTGGATGACAAACCTTAGGATAACAACTTGGACCTTAGGATAACCGCGACTACCCCCAGGGTTGCAACAAAAAATGCCGTCCAAAGGGTCAGACTTGGATGGAGCTTGGTTTGACCTGCGAATTCTTCAGCTGGTGCCAGGGGGCAGCTCAAAAAGCTGCGGATGCGTCGCATCCGATCGCCGGCATCTAGTTGCTGAAATGAATATGGCAGTGGCTCAAAATTAAAGAGCTAGGGCAAACCGCAGGTTTTGGTCCATTTTGTCCACTTACCAGGGTTCCATTTTGGTGCCCGTTTTTTGAGCCATACCCATATGACTGTGGGTCAAAAACCAATGGGATCTCATTTTGGTTGGTAGGTGAATTCACCACCCATTTTAGAACCTATTTTAGTGGGGATTGGGATGTTCACTGGAATCCTTGGGCAAACAATGGCGGTTATATGACCCCCTCGGTTTAATCGTGGATTGAACCCCAGGGCAGACAGTGAAACCTAGGGGTCCCAAGGCCATTCTTTTGATGGGAGCAAGCAACCCTAGGGCCTAGTTTCATATGTGTCGCATCCCTTACCCAAAGTCACCGGGTGTTGTGCGCTCACTTGGCTTTGGGTAGACTCTACCAGGGTTTGGAACTTCCAGCAGTAGGTGGAAACTTACGGCTCCCAGCAAATCGTCCGGTTCCTTCGGCTTGTTGTTTGTTTTTAGTTCAGGGTTGTGGAATCAAGGGGTTTATTCCCACTTCTGTGATACAAGGGAATCTCCCCCTTTATATGGGGTGTTAGTCTTTGGGAAGCCCTTTTTGTTGTATCACAGAAGTGGTCATTTCCCACAACCCTGTTTTAGTTTGCTTAGTTTAGTGGTTGACTTTCCAGTCAAAATGCTAGCAGTGAAACGTTTTGCAGGGCATCACCCAAGTTTGAGAAGCAGTAAGAAGGAATCGCTCCGGGCACGCGACGGTGTTCGGGTCGTTTCCAAGATGGACCCGACCATTTGTTTCCGTTTGACCTGTGGCTATGGATTTTCGTAAGGGGTCCTTTGGTGGACATCATTTTAGGTGGGGATTCATGTCCACCAATCACTTTTCATGTCCATTGGCCGATCTTCCAGAGCCAACGGGCATCGAAAAGACGCGTTTTCAGAAGCACACGACTCAACTGCCCAAATCGAGCGACTCGCTTGGCTTGGACCTGCCGCGTGTCATTGTAGAAGCTGATGACCAGTGGTCATACATCTGCCCAAACGGTTTTGTCTGGGGTTCTTTCACTTGTTTGTTCTATCTCTCTCCTTGGGCCAAAAGCTCAAACGGAAAAGCTGCGGCTGCGACGACAGATCGCCGGCATCTTCCAGTTGCTGAAATGAATATGCTTCAAGTTGCTCGTTTACCCCTCGCAATCCCCGGCATCCTAGTCGTGTTAGACACCGACTTGAAGAGTGGCGCCTGTGGGGTGGGGGACTCATGTTTCAAGTGACAGAGGATGCTTGGATGTTCCCTCGAATTTTCATGGGAATCGATCGCTGCTGGCCATGTTTTTGTTTTTCCCCATGGGGCGAAACCCTGTTTGGTTGGTTTGAAAAGGACACCAACAGGAAAGGAAGCGCCAATTTTTCAGGGTCCCCAAACAACATACACCCTTATTTATTAATTAGTTATTTATTTATGTATTTATTTATTTATTAATTTATTGTTTATTATTATTATTATTATGATGATGATTTCCCCGGTTGCCAAACGGATTTTTTGCGCCCGGTTCAGGGGGTCTTTTTGCCACCTTTGGTGGAAAAATGATCCCACCAAAGGTGGCAAAAAGACCTTTCTGATCACATTTGCACACCATACCCGCTTGTTCCATTTTCTTAAGAATATCTCTGTTATTTTCCCTCGTTGGTTTTAAAAGGAATTGATCACTAGATGTATTTTCTCATCACTACCTCAGTTGCCCAGTGCCCTTTTTCCCCTTTCTTGGGAAGTTGTTCCTTAAAAGTCCACCAAAAGGACCCCGATCCTTTCCCCGAAATCCTTTCCGCATCTGAGCTACTGGATCGGTCGGGCGATCGAGCTTCGCGGTCCAGGAGAGCTCCGCGAAGGCCGCCGCGGCGGCGGCGGTGGCGCTGTGCCTGCAGCACGCGGAGGCGCCGAGTCGGGGACGTCGGGGACGTCGGGGAAGTCGGACGTCGGGAAGACGACGGGAAGACGAGGCACCGGTGACTTCCATTTGCTTAAGATGTTGTGTTTTTTGTTTTTTCCTGTTGGCTTTAAAGGGAATCTATCACTAGTGGAGTTCTAGGCCAAAATGGGTGGAGAGTTATCCGCCAACCGTTTTTGAGGTGGATTGATGTCGTTCGAGGGGAAGTCGAGGCGGGTGAATTTTTGTATGGTCCCAAGTTCCTAGAAAATAATTCCCATTCATTAAAATTGGTAGACAGAGAGAATTGGATTCTGTCCACTTTTGCTCTGAACTCACCAGTGGTATGGCCAAAACTGGTGGAGAGTTATCCACCAACCAGTTTTGATTGAGGTGGAGTCTCATTTCTGATGGGTTTGGCTCAAAATTAAAGAGCTAGGGCAAACCGCAGGTGTTGAGTCTTTCCATTTACCTTTTGGTGCCATTTTGGTACATACTTTTGAGCAGCCATTTGCTTGCACCAGAACACCGAGGGAAGGACTAGTGACTAGCACAGAAGTCGTGCGCGTTTTTGGGGGGGGGGGGCGGAAGCATTGGTCGTATATTGCGATGCCAAGCCGAGTATAGGCATAAAACGAGCTCACCAGGAAGTCGGTCCTTATTTCAGGTTTCGGAAGTAGTATAGAAATTGCTGATGGGGTTGATCACAAAAGCCTTCACATGTCAGGGCCAGCAATATTGATCAACCCCCATTTCAAAGTCGGATGCATCATGAATGAATCCACATTTCTAGAGAAAACAAAACAGACTCCCCGTACATTCTTCCCAACTGGTGCCTGGCGTAGTGTGTCCACAGTGTTTCTCAACCCATTGCTCCATGGTAGCTTCCTTTGTTGGCTAAACAGTCTCCACAAATGTGCGCTTTGAGGCAGACCCCACATAGGTCATCAAAGTACCGGGGAGAGAAATCAAGGCAATTCTTTGAGCACGGGGAGGGAGGGATGCCCCCCATTTTTTCTCACTTTCCTTTGGCTTCCGTAACTAACCCCAAAGAGGACACCAAGCCTCAATAGAAGGCACCCGAATCAACCGCGTTGATTTTCACCATGAATCAAGTTCCTTTCTTCATGACTGTTGTTGGGAAACATTTAGGCATCTTTGCTTGTTGTGGTTTAGTGGTTGAAATCCCAACTTAACTGCTAAAAAAAAAATGGGCTCCCCTTCCAACGTCAGCCAAGCCTTGGCCCCCAGCTTCGGGTTTGGGAATGGTGAAAAAAATCACCCTTCACCGAGATGCTGGCAGGACAGCCGTGTCTATGTGAGATTTTCCCGTGGGGTGACCTTTGTCTTCAAGACCATGAACTAGAGACCCATAGACTCTTCCGGCATATGATCCTTTGACCGAACACGTTGTCGGCTTTAAATTGGCAAAAGCATCACATTGGCTCCATTGGTGGGACCTTCAACCATGGAAATTGCGTCCCCCAGCCCCGAAGAAGAGAAAGGCTTTCGGCAGGAGAAAGGCTCTCAACAGAGGTCCTCATAATGGGTGACAGTCCAGCGGGTCACATGTTGATTCCCATGCGTTAAGCAAGGAGATGACGGCTCATAGGCCCAGAGCTGAAGTGTCGATGTCGCTGGATCCCAATCTCAACCATCACTTGAGCCAGTTTGAGGTGAATCTTCTTGCGCTCTGTACCAAAGGCTACAGCTCTAAACAGCGCCCTGGTCCATAGCAACCACTTCTTGCACGTTGTTGGACATGGGAACAAGCAGCTTGGGGGTGCTCGAAAGGGGCTACAGTCCGGCACAGCGAGCACTTCGCTGCTTTTGCAATGACCAGCCATTACGCAACAGGCCATGCGTTTTGGTCCCGGCGCGTAGGACATGGATCACTCGCTGAGCAACACATAGCGACCACACGCAAAGTCTTTTGGTGTGTGACCTCAGCCACCATCATGGTTGTTGTTGGAAACATTTTGCATTCTTGCTTATTGTGGTTGAGTGGGAAACCCCCCCTTAACATCATGCAAGCTATGACGGTTGTTTTCTTGGGTGGCTCTCACTTCATGATGGTTGGAAGATTGTGACGATTAACTCGTCGTGGAGTATGAAACGCACGGCAGGGGCGAGTTTACATTTTGCTCAACTGTATCATACTCCGGGACTCCGGGTCCATTTTCCAGTGACCACGTCGTCGACGGTTTCGAAAAAACACTTCTGGGTTGGTTCCCATCAAAACCACTGGTTCTCCGCTGAATAGTTGAGTTTGTAGGATAGCGCACGTTTTGAGGGGAGTTGAAGATGCAGAGAATTCAGGAACACAACTGCATGGAACATTGTGTATTCTTCGCCGAAGATATGCTTTTCGCCAACAGCCGAAGGCTATGGGGTTGCTGCCCAAATAGGCTCGTTTGGGGTGGTTTGGGGCAGCTTGGTTCCAGATTCTTTCGGCTGGGTCCCGATACCGCCTGGGCTTGGTTCGAAGGGAAGCCGAATTCCAGGGGTGAGCTTGGTATAAGTATCAGTAGAGTCGGCGAAGCCGCTTGAATCCAGCTCCATAGACCCCGTTACAGGTGGCGGCCAGAGGACACGAGGATCGTGAGGGTTTAGGTTCAGCCGTGGGTGGGGAAGGGTCGGCTGTGGCTAGTTGGTTGGAATTCAGTCCGTTAACTCTTTGGGAAATGATTGGTTTCCCAATCACCTACACGAAGTTGAGACCTTTTTGGACCGGGGAGAACAGCCGTCAAGAGTTGTGTCAATTTGGCGGGTATTCGTTGGGAGTGATGTTTCAAGGAGCGATATGAAGGAGCCCTGATCGATGGGCTCTGCCGCTAAGGTGTACACTCAGATGGTGCGACTTGCTCGACATTTAACTGGTGGTGCGGTGCGTGAGATTTGATTCGCACTCTGTTCAGGACATGCTTGCTACGGGCTCTAACAGACTCATTGTTATGTCTGTCACTATTGGGCAACTTTGTCGGATACGGACAAGCGATCAGGTCGTACGATTCTATATGTGTCCCTTTCTGAAATGCTGAAATGCGGGTAAGGGATGTAGAACCCTCACAAAAGGGGTGTTGAGACTTGGAGCTTCCCCGAGTTTCCTCCACAGGACAGTGAATGCTGGATGCTTCATCGGCAAGATGTCTGTCATTTCCCCAGACCAAAGGGTGATGTTCAGTCCCCGCAGGAAAAAGCCACCGAAGCAAACACTTCGGGCAGCCTCCGGGTTTCTTTTTGTGTTTCATGGGTGTCCCCCCACAAAAAAAACACCGCCTAGTTCTTCTCATCGGCCTTATGGCCTCAAGCCACCCCTAGCGAAGGCCAACAACCGAACCGCTTGAAGGATGTTGGGGGTTCTCAACACGTCTTCGCTTGGAGTACCTAGAAGAACCAGCGGGAACTGTCCATGCAATTGGTTCCCTTGCTCCAAGTGGAGGTGGGCAACCTTTACTTTCTCTTCCCGAGTTCCTGCACTTTAGTCACTTTTTTGGGTTTGGACCATTTTAGTGTTGAGTGTTACTTGCTGGCGCCAGAGATGCAGGGAATGAGACATGGCACCCCGCAACTTCAACCATCCACGTGGTGGTTCCCTCTAGGTGTCTCTCTCAAACTTGGGGGCCCATTGTATGGCTTGTTTCCCTTTGGCTTCCCTTTAGCCTCAAAAAAGTGCTCCAGGTTGAGAACCCCCCCATAAAATTATGCACCTGGTGGTTTCCTTTTTATTCCGTGGCCCCGTGGCACCCCGTTTTCAACTTGTTGGGTTTTGGGTTCCGACTCCCTGAAACGAAGCCAACCTAAACAAATCGGACGCCGCCTGGAAATCCACTGGGCATCTGAGAGATGGAAATCCATGGGTTGCAAAACTTATGGCGATCCCTTGTTGGGGTGGAGGAAAATCCATTTGCACTGGGCAAATACATAAATATTTTGTGTTTAATACATATATACATATATATATATATATGATGTACAATCCAAATGCACATCTATTTTGATGTCCAGGGCTACGATTTGGGTTTTGACCCACAGCCAGGTGCCAAATGAACCGCGGGGCGGGGCGGGGGGGGGGGGGGGGGTCGGTCGGACCAAGCCCTGGCTTCCCTTCGGCCCTTCGGCAGGAAGCTCAGCTGGTGGCCCTGCAGCACGTGGAGTCCATGTCTGCGAGTATCCTCTTGATGCAGGCGCTGCAAGGAGAGATGCACCGATTTCGCGAGGAGTTAGGTCCAACTCGGGGGTGGAAGGTTGTTTTTTTTTCCTTCCTTGCTTTTGTTTTTCTTCCTTTTCCCCCCCCGTTTGTTTTTTTTCTCGGCCTTGCAGGTTGGTGTTTGTTTTTTTTGTTTGTTTGTTTCTGTAGTTTGGGATTAGTCTGAGATTTGGCAAATGACGTTCTGTGGATGGACCACCTGGGAAACCTTTGAATGATGGTTCCCCCGCAAATACCAAGAAACCATGGTTTCTCATGGTTCCAAAGTTGTGCATCGTCCATGGTGTTGTTTGAGGAAAATTATGGCAGGGGTCACCAGGCAGATTCTATGGTGGAGTGCTTTTCAGGAGATGCGACTTTGAGACGATGGGGTGCCAAGCAGGTCCCTGTTCAAGACCTGCTGGGGTGTGAATTTGTATGGCCCCAAATTCTAATTGGCCGAAATTGGACATCAGAGTTATCCACCAACCACTTTGAGAGCTAGATTCTCATTAAGATGAAGAGCCAGTTATGAACTATACCTACTGTGGATGGACGAAATCCTGCACCAAAGAAACCAAATGTAAATACCAACAAGCATTGGGATTCCTATGGTTCCAAAGTGGTGCGAAATGGATTTCGTCCATCAGCACCTCAAATTCCTTGTCCGTTTGTTTTTTCTTCCGCGTACGGCAAGGAGACTCTTTTGCGTCAAGGCGGGGAGCGTTCCTTTTGTTTGAAACGCGATCTCCATTCCGAGCCGCGTCGTGCTTCGCCGCCAGGGTTGTTTTCTGGTCGACAAGTCACTCGTCAGGTCGAATGGGAACCCCGAAAGAAGAAACCTTTGGGTTTTTCACTTTTAGTGGGATTCACACCGCTTTGGAGGGGGGGTTATTAATGCGGTGTCAACATTACCTGGACACTCAAAATTCCCTTAACATTGGGTTGTTGCAACCCACCTTTTTTGATGGGTGGTTTGAGGGTCCAGGCACCCCAAAGAAACACAAAATGATAGTGTCCGCTCGAGAACAAAACCAAACAAAACAAAACAAAACAAACAAAACAAAACAAACAAACAATCAATCAATCAAGCAAGCAAGCAAGCAAGCAAGCAAGCAAGCAAGCAAGCAAGCAAGCAAGCAAGCAAGCAAGCAAGCAAGCAAGCAAGCAAGCAAGCAAGCAAGCAACAAAACGCAAACAAGCAAACAAGCAGGCAAGCAAGCAAGCAAGCAATGGGGTGTCTCTTCTTCTTGGCTGGCAGAATATACCCTTGACTTGCAGCAAGGGCTACTGGATGGCCTGTCTCACTTGACTTCGACAGTTGCAGTATTTGCAATATGTTGGTGACGGGCGAACACATATGCGAATACGGGCCGAGTCTTTGCAGCATTGATTGAAAACTTTAAATAAAACTCTATTTTGTCAGTATTAGAGCGGAACTGCTGCTAGTCAGACGAAGCCCCCAAAGTAAAAAACATCTTTATTAAGAAGGTAATTCATGCACTACTGATGAGTATCCTCCGGATGAATCCAAGCTTAGCATTGTGCCACCGAAGAAAAAAAAATATGGGGTTCCATTTCAGGGGCATGGGTTCAAGTCCAAATCCAAGCCGCTGGTCTCCAAACCACCAATTGGAGGGGGAGGAAGCTGAGTTGTGCTTCTTGGAATCCAAAACCACCAATTCATGGTTGTTCTTGGCAAACATTTCACATGTTTGCTTGTCGTGTTTTGGTTGAAATCCAACCACTCGAATTGTTTGCTCCCCAAACCCCACGTCAACCAAGAACGGGGCTCCTCCCATGGCCCCCGTTTTGGGGCCACTTGCGTGGATCGCCTTCTCCGAAAATTCCTCCCGCAGTGCTCGCTCCCCAGCGGCAGGGGCCCGGCGACCGAGAGCTTTGAGGCCATTGAGGAGGCGGCTCCAGTCGCATGGATCGGCTTTGGGTGCGGTACCCTTTGGGTTGGTTTTAAAGGGAAGCAGCACCCCTTCGGCTCTCTGTTCTAGGGGAAAAAAAAAACACAAAAAACATCCAACAGGAAAACAACAATAATAAGAGGTACCATGAATCTAGGGGTTGATTCCTTTTCCATGGTTTGGGTTGACATTCTCACGGTCCATTCTCCCTTTTTGAGTGTCCCTGACATTCTAGGGGTTGATTCCTTGTCCATTCTTTTCAACCATGGAACTTTTCAAAAACCGATGGATCTATTTCCCCGTGGTTTCCGGAGGTTTTCGAGAAAGATCAGGATCCCTGGAAAGGGAGAAGGTACCTGAAAGCGGAACACCGCCAATATTTTTTTGGGGGGTCCAACCGAACATGGGTTTGTTGTTCAGCTTGGATCGCCCAGTTGCTGCCTTCCAGCCGCTTTGCCATCACTGTTGCTGGAGTTGGCAGAAAATTGAAGTCCTAACATCCCTTGGCACCATGCACCGAAGTCTCTGTCATGAAACAGCAACGATAAAATGTTCAAAGGCTCTCAGCCTGCAGCAAGTGGCAAACCCCACGCAGTACAACGGTGCTCCCCGCTGCCCGTGACTTGCGCTTCCGAACCAGCAAAAGGTCCGAGTTGCCACCAAAGACCAGACATAAGCAGAACATTCATCTGCGCCTTGCTTTTTGTTCTGGACCCCCCCGAAAAATAGCCGGCGTACGGCTTCTTCCCTTCAAAAAACAACCTGTTTCTGTTGGACCCCCCGGAGAAAAGGGGGCCTTGCGGCTTCATTCCTGCAAACAAAAACCAACCAGTTCCTGTTCCCCGAGCAATGGCCAGCTTTCGGTTTTCCTCACGAAAAATTAAACTTTTAGCAGGGTGCAGAAAGCAACCGAGATATGTCATGTAAATACCCGACTGGGTGGTGAATGAATCAGGTAAGCCTCTGCTTGGTGGTTTGGATTTAGCAGGGGAGCAGATTGAAACCGAGGCAGATTTTCTTGCTAAGACGAGAACTCTTTTTTTTTGGAGGGCAGCAATCATGAGCGCACTCGGAAGGACCACAGAGTTTTGACAGGAGCGAACTCTCCCAAGTCCGGACGAAAGGCGTGTTGATCCCACATTCTTCGGCTTGGATGGTGTGGAGATAGCAAGCAACTTGCCTTAGTTCCCCCACCACTCAAGGAATTCCATTGACTTTCGCCTCGTTTTTACCCTTCAAGGTGGCAGTCACAAGAATTAAGATTGGACACTTCTGGTTGGGACACCACCAGCCAAGTGCAACTTTTCCAGGGGGAAATCCAATGATCCTATGGGTTCCCCCAAAACAAAGCAAGACACACCGATTCAGGGTTCTTCTTCAAGTTAGGGTCTCTCCTGTTGGTTTCCCTTCAAGCCCAGACAACCTTTTCTTGCCGGTCGCTGCGATCGGCAGGGAATGAGAAATGGACTGCCGAAATAGACCGGCCACCCCTGGCTGGTGGCCTTTTCCTTTTGGGGGGGACCGACGCGGTGGGTTGATTCCATTTCACATTCTCTACCTCATGGTTGTTGTTGGGAAACATGTTACATTTTTGCTTATTGTGGTTTAGTGGTTGAACTCCAAGCACTTGACTGCTAAAACAAATGCAGGTTTTTGCTCCCTTCCAACGTCAACCAAGACCGATTCGCAGCGATCACCAGTTTTCCTCCGGAAGCTCAGGCGCCCGAAGCCGAGTTTCCAGTCAACGTCACAGGCATCGCAGGCCAAGAGGGGGCGTAGTAACGTCGGGCCGGTTGGCGTCTCCTTCTTTTTTTTGAGGGTGCCCGTGGTGCCCGTTTTTTGGTTGGTTGGTTTAAAGAGAAGCAGTTGCCAATATGGGCATGCCTTTGTTTGAGAAAGCTTAAAGGGAAGCCAGAAGGAACGCCGAGATTTCCATTGTGGGTCTATAAAAAGACCCAGCCATGGTGTTTCTGAAAACTAAGGCTATTTAGGACAGGTGGGTGGTGTCTGGTTGGTTTCCCACCACAACACCCCTATGTTGATAAACTCCCATATGTGAATTTCGATGGGTCCCGGCTTTTTGTCGATTGACATCAATCAGATTTCGGTAGGGATGCTTGTCGGCTAACCACTTTTCAGGATGTGTTTTTTAGTAGCACTGCTTCAATTACGCAGTTGGAGGGGGTTGTACATGGGTTCCATAGGGTTCTGGGTCAGGAACCCGTGTATTTGTTTCCCTCTAGCATGGGAACCTTGTGCATTCCGTGAAACAAAAGCCGCGGCGTAACACACGAACTGGCCTTGCCAGTGCAACGCGTATTTGGGAATGGCCCTTTGACACATCCGCAAGCATTGCTCTGGCACCCAGTTCGAACTGCGGCACCTGTTGCGTCAGGTTCGCATGTTGAATGCTTCTGCTGAATCAGACAATGACCCTTCTCTACTGGCAAACCCTGTGAATTAGATGTTTACCGGCAATGCGCGCAATTCAAGCGCGCCTAGAAGTTCAGCATGTGGGGTTGAAAGATCCTATGCTGTGGAGGGCCATCGCACCGCAGGCATTTGTGAACGGGATTGATCCGCGAAGGAGTTAAACATGCCCGCCTCATTTGGCGAATTGTTTTGAAGCTATCAATGGCCAACCAGACCACCAACGTAACATACAAAAGTGCGGTGAGCTCGAGCATTTGAAGCCAAACGGGTCTTGTTTGTTTATATATATATATATATATATATCATTCTTTGGGAGGTGTTGAAGGGAATCCAAAGGAAGTCACCCATGTTGGGTTACTTTTGAGACACACCAGGTTTGACGCGCTGATCTTGGCAGGTGTCGAACTGGACGTGAGTGGGGTCACCGGCAGGCCCCGAATGCACGACGGTGTTTGCTCTGTTTCAAATGGGATCCATGAGCTATGAATTTCAAGAATCGGGACTCCAAAGAGAATGGTGGACATGAACCCCCGCCGAACCTTGATGTCCACCAGATTGGATCCCCAACTAAAAACAAAATAGCCGTATATCCATTTCAGGAAGGACTAAACATCGTATAGCCATTGAAAGGACGTTGCCTTGGCGGTTGCCAGCCATAGGCAGCTGGTTTCTAGGGTGAGGGATGTATGGCGCCACGAAACTCACTTCTAGCAGGAGATCAACCATTTGCTGAAATGAGGTCTGTTTTTCAATGTCCCCTTTTGCTTGTGACATTGGGCAATGTGTCAGTGGGAAATATATATATATATATATTTTGACCCGGGTCAACACACGCCTTGCATGGTGTTTCATCCAGGTTCTGCGCCAGGTGCTTGTGTGCCCCCTTTCTTGCTTGTTGACTCGAAATTGCTGCTTAGATTCTTCAGGACAGTATGTGGCAAACCAAAAGAAGAGAATGACTAGAGACATCAGCAATTCAGGCGCCACAGCATATTCTAACTTTGGTGCATTTTTTCTTGAATGTTAGGACTTTATAACTTTTTGCCAACTAATGGGTTTTCCATTAAACCACTAAAAGTTAAGCTTTTAGCAGGGGAGCAGAAAGCAACCGAGCTAAGATTGGTCTTTTGGAGTATGTAAGATACCGAATTGAGGCTGGGTCCCGGTCTTAGGACATGGCTACTAGGAATCCACTGCATGGTTCATGTTGCTTGGCAGTTCCCGGCCTTTGGCTCTTAGTTGTTTGGGTTTTCGACTTCTTCGTAGCCCACAAGTCAAATGTTTAGCAGTGGATCTGAAAATGGGGAACTCATGTCGCAGCTTGCTTTGCCAGGGTGAACTCACGAAAGCACAAAACGCGGTACCGGCGCCGGCGACAATGTCTTTCCCTGAGAAGTTGCCCACCCAGATGTGGAGAAAGACCACCTAGGTTGCTTTTGGCTTGACACGTCAATGGAATGGCACATGTTAAATCTATTCCCCCTTTTTCTAAATGCAGCCCTTTGGAAATTATACTTGCTTGCTCACAGCCTCACCCTTTCGATATCAACAGGGGATAATTCAGTCCAAAATTGGTTGTTGTTCATGTTGAAGCCCAGGGCTAAATGCCTGTTAATCCTCTGAATCCGAGCCATAGTCCAATCTTAGACTCTGACATTGCATGAGCTTAGCCCCTCAATCGTTGAAGCACTGTAACAAACAGCCCGGCGGACGAGTTGGGGAATCACATCCTTTGTTGCTCACTGGTGCCCTTTTCGCAACTTTTTTTGGGAAAGGGTTCCCCTTTAAACTCAACCAAGCAAAATCTTACGACTCGCGAGAGTCGCGACGCGCGGCGTTTTTCAAGCGAGCCGGTCAGGGATCCTTCAGGCGTGGAGGAGAGGCGGTGGAGACAGGGTCGGCCGGGGGGGCCGTTTGGCTCGCTTCCTGAGTTCCTGAGTCAGAGACTTGTTTTGGCCAATCCACTCCAGTGAGTTGGTGGGAAAGATGATGGACCCAAAAGTGCAGGTTTGCTCTGGGGTATGCCAAACTGATGCCACAAAACAGGGGTGGAAAACGGACCGCCCTGATCACTTCGAGCGAGCTCACTCACCTTCGGGTTAAACGAGGTTGCCCCAGTCTCATGCAGCCCAATCTTATTCTTGGGACATTGGCTTGCAACCGTGGGCGGGATTTGAACAGCACGAGCAGTAAGTCAAAACTGGAATCAGCTCTTGTGGGAAGGAGTGCGACCCAAAGGCAAGCCATCTTCACGCAGCCTATTTGGTGGCTGCCCTTTTGGATGGTTCTTGGTTTGGCCAAACGTTTCGCACCCATGGTCAAACAATTTTCAGAAGCTGATTGCTCATTGCCAGTTCCATGCACGTGCCCTGACTTTTGCACTTGCTCTAATAAGGGATGTGACTCGTTACCCAGGAGCCCCTTGGACATCGGAGTTCGGGGGATTCATGCTTCTGGGATGCTTCTGGGTTGGTTCCCCGCTGAAAGCTGTTCCCCCCGGGGTCCAGTTCCAGTTCGGCGCACAGAGAGATCCACAGTTTGCAAAACAGCGATGTTATTCTTCACATGATTGAGTCAACATATTATATATGTGTCGCGTGTTTGGTTGTTCTGCATTTCTCCCCAAAAATCCGAAAGTTGGGTCACCTGCGACTAGGAGAGCCTGGAGTTTTGGAAAGAGGACATCACCATCGCGGAGGCCATTCGCCTGGCTTCGGTTTTGGGTCTTGGGCAGGCCGCAATACACATGGGTGTGGCACCGCGGCAAAAAAGCAACTCAAGAGCAGCGGGCTACGCAGGTTTTAGTCTTTGGTTCCATCTACCAAGGTGGCATTTCGGTACATTTCTTTGAGCCACTACCAAATAGAACAGAAAAAGTTGGCTATGGAGGAGGACTCACCCCCAAGTGATGGGGTCGAGTGATTTTGGAGCCCAACACATTCTCTCGATCGGAACATATCGGAACCTTGGGGTTTGAAAGGTGGAATGGCTAACGCAACTGCGGTCCCAGTTTGCTGGACGTGGGGTGAATCCCAGACACTCCAATGTTGCTGCTATTTGCTAACATTCGCGAACGTTGGCTTGAGAAGGAACATTGGGGTTTATAAGGCCAATGTTGCTCTGAGAGGCATACATCCAAAATGTTGGTTCGACAAATGCATGTTCGACAATTCTCCTGCCAGCAAAGCACGCCAAATCACGGTAATACATGTACCCCAAATTTGGCATACATTTGGCCCTATGGTTATGTCTATGCAAAAAGATCGCGCTTTTTCCAGCGCTTGAGCCAATGGCCGTCGCCATTGAATGGTTCCGTGTGCATCATGTTGCTGTTGAACATGCACACTCCCCCTGCAGCCTTCGGCTGCATTTAAACTTCTTCCCATTCAGAAGAAGAAACTGAAAATTCCTCCACCAACTCCCCAGCACCATCTGCTACCGGAAGACTCGATGGAATCCTAGGTTTTGCCTTCGTAGTGCTCGCCCATGTAGTAGTACTCCCTCGTCCGCCAGCCTTCGCCTTTGGAAATGTGACTACGGGGCCCGCATCCTTCCCACGCTTCTCTGGGCCTCCTCGCGCATAGCCTCCGGATCCAACTTGGTCCCCAGAGCCCCTTGCGCTTGGATCAATGCCCCTCGAAGCGATTCCACGGTCCTTCACGGACGACCAGCCGGAATTCCTCTCCTTCCCGACCTTGATCTGGAAGAAAGTGTACCCTCGCCATGGTTGCATTTGCGAGGTTCGTTGTCGCTCCTGATGAGCGGTCCAGCTGTCCTCCTCGACGGACCGGATACCCAAAGGCGATGTGCCCGTGTGTAGCTTCACCGTGATCCTCCTCGACTCCAACCGCGCTGCATCCAGCGGGAACTCTCGATGGATCGGATGAAACCTGCGTTTCCGAGGTTTGCCATGTGCACGGATTGCCCATCCCGGCTGGGACCAATCCCACTCGTCCTTGTTCTTGTTCTTGAGCATCGGGGGGACCTTGTACTCCTCGAGTTCCCACGGGAGTACTGGTCCATCCTGATGAAGGTCTTCTTCTTGATTATCTGACCTCCTCCCCTCCTCCGTCTTCTCCTCAATCTTATTTGCCTGCTTGGTCTCCACATTCGGCTGTTTCGACAACCACCTCAAGGCTCGCAGCCGCGGTCGAACTTCTCGCTGGCTTGGGGCCCTGATGTGGGTGTTCCCAATCCTGGGACGGGCTGGTCCCGCATCATCCGGGTTGTTGTCATCCCTCGGACTGCGGCTTCGTTCACGCTCACCCGGTAGTGAAGTGATTCCCAGGTCCCGCAAGCTCACATTGCCTCGCAGAGGAGCCACGAATGTCGTGGATCCCGTCCAGGCATCTGCTTCGCGAAAAGCTTCCATCCTCCAATTGTCATTGATCACCCGCCGCCCTCGCTCGATATCGACAAAAAACCAAATTGGTCTGTCGCCGACTTTCCAGCATCGTAGCGTTGACCCCCGGAGGCATGTTCCTCGGATCCGGTTGAAAATCCCGGTTTCTCCTCAGCATATGAATGCGGGTCGCCACGATGAAGTCTCGCTCAAACGTCACCTCCCAAAAGTCCTCAGGCTCCTCATCCTGTGACCCACGAATTGGACCACCCGGTGGTTCAGGCCATGGCTCACTTGGTGCCTCGATTGGCACCCGACCCTTACCTATTGATGCAGGGCAGCCCGTAGGGCAGTGGTAAAACGGCAGGCGGCAGGGGTCCTCTGGTTTTACCCTCGGGGCTGGTTCATTTTCCATAGCCCATCTTGACGTCGCCGGTTCATGTTCCCTGGCGATTCCTCTCTGTCGGTTCATTTTCCCTGACAGAGGACCTTGCCTTCACCGGTTCATCATCCCTGGTGACAAGCTTCCAAACAGAGGGGTCCCTTGGTGTGGTCGGTTCATCTTCCCTGACCATCTTGGCAATCCTTCCCTCGAAGTTGCCTTGATGTGCGGCTGGTTCATCATCCCTAGCCGATCTTGATTCCCTCGCAGGTTGGGCCCGATGGCCTTTATACACAAAACCAAACCCAACACCAAGAGCCGCCAGACAAAGCTCCTTAACGGTGTGAGACCGAGGATCCTGCGGCTTCCAGCATGCCACAATCCCCATGAGCCCACTCAGAGCCGCCACCTTCATGACCGTGTCCTTGGTGAGGCCCTTCTGGGACCCAATGGCTTCTTGGTTCCCCATTCCATCCACCTCCGATGTGGCCAGGAGCATGCCCGTCATGGCGTAGAACCTGAGCCACTGTGACCTGGAAGCCACCGTCTTCGTGAGGTAGTCTGCGACCAAATCACAACCTGGCAAATGTCGAACCTGCCATTCTCCACCTCTCACTCTTTCTCGCAACACATTGGCACGCAGCCGAAGATGCCGTGTGCGCCACGGCCCATCTGGATTCTGAACGATGGCCAACGCCGCCGTGTTGTCTCCGTATATCACCTTCTCCGTGATTCCTCCGCCGTTGTGGCCACCCTCCATGATGTCCAAGACCGCGCAGAGGGAGTCACCCATGATCATGGCCTCGATGTAGCCCACCAGTTCGGCTTCCGCTGTGCTAAGGGTCGCAAACGGCTGGCGGCTGGATTCCCATTGAACCAAGGCGCCACCATAGAAACCGAGAACACCTTGATGGCTCTTTTCACCCAACGGGGCAAAGGAGATGTCCGCGTACATCTCTAATCTCCTCATTGACCTCGCAAACGGCAAACCACCATCTGGCCCCCTGTCTCCCTTGCAGCCCCCATACATCAGGCCCAATTCCTTCGTACCGTACAAGTACGCCATCATCTCCATGCCGACTTTGACCACCTCCTGCGGACATCGTGTCACATGTTGTGACATCCAAGAGACTCCGAAGGACACATCTGGTCTCGTCCGCACCGATAACCATAGCAGCTCACCAACCAATCCCTGAGCCGCCCGAATAGCCTCTGGCGTCATCTGCGGGTTCTCGGGGATCTCCGGCTTGCTGAACGGGACCGGTCGAGCACACTCCACGTTGTGCCTCTTGATCAGCTCCGCAATGTAGGAGGGCTGAGCCACGTGCAGATCTCCATCTCCGTTCCATCTCAACTCCATCCCGCAGAACTTGGTCCAACCCTCATGATGAATCCATTCCGGCAGGCTGCAGACCCATTCTTCATTGATCCGCTTGATGATGCTATCCACCAAGCCTCGAGGTCCGGCTGCCAAGAAATCATCCACGTAGATCACAACGTATCCACAAGGAGCTTGCAGTCCATCTGTCTCCTTTTTCTGCTCCATCACCGCCCACACGTTGGACTCGGTGGTCTGCTGCAGCTTGAAGCTCCGGCCCTCATGCTTCCACTCGAAACCCTTCAGACGCTGGTCTCTGAAAGCCGACCAGTCTGCTGGGCTGGTCTCCAGACCATACATGGCTCCTTGAACAAGCCAACGCTCCGAAACCGGAACGATGCCCGCTTCCACAAGCACCTTGGGGGGCCTCGTGATGAGGACCCTCCTCTTCTCTTGGCGAGGTGCCAGCAGGAAGGCGCATTTCACATCCACCGTGGCCAGGTCCCACCGCTCGTGTGCCGTTTTCCGTAGGACGCATCTCAAGGCCGTGCCATCGATGCCTCCCGCGTAGTTTTCCTTCTTGTCCACCGCCGACTTCGAGCTTTCACCATTGCCGTCCGTCAACAGGTTGCCGCAAATCACTGCCCGAGCTCTTTTCCTGCCCAGAGGTGCCTTGATGGTTGTGACCAGCTTACCCGGGGCGAACTCCGCGTTCTCGATGCCCGGGATGCTGTCCAAATCCTTCTCGTTCACTTCACCACCTTCGTGCCGTACACCAACGCATTATACTCATCGGTCATGGCTTCTTTCCAGCTTTCCAGATCTCTTCTCACCTCCTGAAGCGGCACGGTGCGAGTTTGTAGAACCTTTTCCGGCTCCTCTTCGCAACCTCCCTTCAACAAGGCCATCCGATAGCCCTTCTCACCCTCGTCCTTCGGAAGGTTCCCCAGGTCGTCTTCCAGCTGATTGATGCCACCCATGAGGAACTCCACCGCGGCACCATGTGCAAATCCAAGCTCCTCACCCATGGGGACGACCTTGATTTCCTCTGCTAATGCTTCCTTCAAGCCCCACTGATAGGCGCCCAGAGTCTCCTCGAGCTCTTCTCTTCCTTTGTCTGTTAGCCAAAATTTCTTCAGGCCAGTGTAGTACTCTCCCCCCGCTTGCAGTTCACGTAGAGCGGGGCCTTCATCTTCTTCCTGAGGCAGTACCCCTTCTTCATGGTCGAGATCTCCCCCCAGATGTGGCCCGCGTTCCATCCGCTGTTTCCCGGTCAGCCGTTGCTTCGGTTTCCCAGGGTTATCGTCCACCTCCAGCTCGTACCGCGCCCTGTCTGCTTCCTCATCTGGCAAGATGGCAGCCCGTGCATGCTGGATGGTCCCCTCATTGGTTTGCACCACCCAACCCCAGCTCATCAATGGGCTCGGACCCAGTAGGCGAACTTCACGAAAAGGTGATGCCAAGGGCCCCTTCTTATGCCATCTCTTCGTCTTCACCATGACCTTAGCATAGAATGGGAGCAGCGGGAAGGTCTCCACCCCAAGTCTTTCAAGCTGTTGCTGATTTCGCTGTAGGACCACATGACGTAGGGCTGCAGGCCACCACTTCGCTGGGGCTCCAGACCCCTTCAGCACCACCCGAAGCCTTCTTTTGACA